GAGAGAGAGTGGGCGCCGCACAGCACAGCGTCACACGACAGCACCCCTGGAGAGGTCCCTGACGAGGATCCGTGAGCTTCCTGTCCGTCAGCAAGCGTCGACCCGGGATATCAGGAGAAAGCTGAGGCTGGGGTAACCTGGGACGATCTCGAGCCATTGGCCAATGACCTGATTTACCGTACCGGCATGCAATATCGGGCCTTGTTCCTAGCCTGCTAGCATGGTTCCCGGCGTGCTCTGGCGCAATCCAGATTCGGTCAGCGTCATGTACCTTGCTGGAATATCATTTAAAGATCCATCTCTCGCAAGCCGCAAATGTACATGCAGACTACCTAGGTAGGTATGTACCTAGGTATGTAGATCTCTCGTTTCTTCGAATCTTGATTTCCTATTCCAACGTATCTGCCGCGGAAGGACAGTGCAACGCCTTCCTGTATGACCTACATACATGATGCCATACGCCAGGATACGTCCAATCACCACGGTCCTATGGTGTAACCGTAGTTGCATCTCAACCAAGGTCGAACGACGACAGTTGAAATCATTACGATGGTCGTGGTGGGATGAGGGGTGAACCCGAGGCTCCGAGCCCCACGTATCCCATCTTCTATTATACAAGATTAGGTGCGTGTCCTCTTGGGAGGCGACGGCATTTGTCTTCTCGTGCCTAACATATTTATTATATTCGTTTAAGTACGGATGCGTAGACGTTTTGGGTGACGTATCTGCGCCACGGTGGGACGACAACCGGGCGTCTTTCTAATGTTCTTTCTAGTATTGATTGCCTCTCTTCTCAGACTATTACTACTCGAAGATGAAATCGACAAAGACTTATTCGCAGCGTGGGGATGATGCTGTACGTATAGTATAGATGCAGCTCGACGCTTTGGGGGCGAACCCTGGGTCCCCTAATAAGCCGTGACCATGCTAGTCATCCCAGGGATTGGCCTACGTAACATACATACATAAGTTTCGACAAACCTTGAGCCGACTAGTTCCACGTAACACCATATAGCTCTATATTCCTGAACCTTTTTTAGATTAACCTTTCCTTTCTCTCTCTCCTGTCCTTCGGTTGTGAATCCCGTACTCCTGGTATGATCGTCGATGAGGCTGCTAGAGCCGTAGATGTACTCCGCGCTCCGTCCGTCGTCTGCTTTCATTTCTAGCGTATCATCAAACCATGCCGTTAAAAGAACCCAACCGCGGAACCTCACGAAATCTAATAACCCTTGGGCATGGCGTGGCTTGCATGTTTGGCGGAATGGCACCCTAATCATACCGGATATCCAACAAGCTTGAATCGGGGCTCGCCTGAGGCTGGCCAACGGCTAGAATCATACCAGCTCCCTCAGAGGCGCGACCGCGCCGGCTGCGTATGATGCCTCTATCGAGCAGGGTTTCGCATGTATTACTACTCTACGGTACTATGTAGCCGGCGAATCTCCTCGGTCAAGCTAGCTACTTGCATACCTTAGCCTCCGACACCGTTGTCGACATGTCGAATTACTACTCGAATCCTAGATGACCGGCGTGTATGGCCTTGCTATTCAGCCTAGAGACCTTTTTGGCATGGCTAGCATCTAAATGCTTAGATTAACGCCATATTATTCAATCAACACTCGCTAAATGGTTACCTATCCAACTCCATTTATGATTGTCGCCGTTAGGACATAATAGTACCTATAATATAACACGCCGGTTACGAATATCCTAGATTTCGTCATCGCGGCTCTCGCGAATGGGCGAGCTCGAGGTATGTACAGAGTAACTCGAAAGACGTCCGCTGCGTTATACGTATTGTATTAGCGAGCCCCCGTCCGCGTTTATTCGCCTCTGACTTCCAGGGAGCTACCGTAGAACAAGGGGGAGATACGCATGTATCAATTATCAACTATCAATTATCAACTCGCCATCTCTTTAGTGCTGTGATGATCAGGATCTTCCCGCGGCCATTTTTAGCGACGGAGTGATTGTGGAGAAGGGGGGAAAAAGGCCAGAGAGCATTGTTGCTATTGTGGCCCCTGACCTGACCGGTCGCCCACTGACCGAGCACCCAGACCGAGCGGACAGGCCCACGATGGGGCTCTTCCACCGAAGGAACGTGCCCATCGCTTCTCTTACCATGGTTCAATATACGTACCCAGGCTGTGTAGCATGCGTACCTACATTCCAGTCGAACGAGGGATTCTTCCATCTTCCGCAAACGAAAGCATCCTCGCAGAGAAGGACGGCAGAAAGCGTGGAAGCGCTATTAAGGGGTTGCCGAATCGGTGAGCTATTTCCGGTAAAAGGTGTACAGTTCTAAATTACTCTTCACCATCGGCAACTTTCGAAGCGATCGCGAAGGTATTTTCTTCCTCCCACTATTAGCGGCTTCGCATTAGCGGCATCCTCTACCTGGCGGCGACGGATCTCGATTCGGGCAGCTTGGCAATCTTTACATGCTTAATTCGATACGACGCACGAAGAGGTAGCCATAGTTAATAAGTTAATAATTCTAGTGAAGCTATTTTCGCTGACCGAGAGCTCAGGCCAAACAGGTTGGAAAAAAAAAAGCCTGCCAAGCAAGCATATTGCTATAAATGTTTTATTACATATAGGACTGCTGTTCCCAAAGCATGGATTCGGTATATTCGGCACCAGGATCCCAATCCTAACTCATGACAGGCCAAAGATCAAATCGCTCTTCCTCACCATATGCTTCCTACCTTACCCTTAACTCCTTATTATTTTTTGCCTCTCTCTCTCTCCCCCCTATGTTTAGTTACCCAAAACGTCGTATACAGAGCAGGGTCCACTCAGCAAACACTACCCTCGGGATCGCGAACTGCGCACGACTAGAGAATCAATCATGTTGTCTCGAAAGCTCGCGAGCAGGTCATGTGCGGCAGACACCTGCAAGTTCTGCATACACCAGGAGGACAACTGTATGAGGCGGGTTCCAACAGCTGAAGTTTAGATTTTCATTCCAACGTCAGTCCACCACGCCAGCCATTCTTCGGGTACCTTTAAGCCTACCTATCGCTGGAAGGGAGAATGGGGAACGAGCAAATCAGCGCTGTTCCACCTTATATCCTCGTTCCGGCGCCGGGTCCCAAGTGGCCCTCTTGCAACCAAAACCCTCGCTTAGGCTACAGGGCCTGGATTAATACCTCACACCCTCACAAGGGCGTGATCTTAGCCACATATTTAACTTCTTCCGAGGAGTGTGTCCGCCCACGTTGCCCTCTTTTTATTTCCTCTTACGGTCGAGCAAGATAACGGAGGTACTTGCAAGGTACTCCCTCGTACCGGCCCCCCCATAGCCGTGCGTGTACATGGTCGTCTATTTGAAGGAGCGAGGTGGTTCGCAGCCCATCTTTCCACCTACATATCTACCTACATGACACCAATCCCAAGCCGTCTAGGCGGTCAATCGTCCCTCTTAGCAGGCCGCTACGCACGCACTGAGGATAGCAACAATGGTACCCAGCAAGAAAAAAAAAGGAACACGAGAAGCGTCGCTGCAAGGACCTACCGGAGGCGGTAGAGAAACTTGATGTACCTAGGCTCGTTGGTCCCTCTGAATCACAGCATCAGCACGTCTGTATCCGGCAGCTCCAGAGTCCCATTACTCGATGGAACCTCGACCCAGATCTAGAAATGCTAATTTGGCCCACAGCGGGAGACAAGGCTCGCGGAAGCACGAGCTTACATCCGGGAAGAAGTCATCCAGATGATGTGCATCCAGGGCCACTTCGTGGCGAAATTACTGTGTTTGCGGATAAATCCATGAGCGTGCTTTCTGACATTTCACAGCATATCTAGATTCAGAAGCTATTTCCTGCCTCTGCATAGTAAACCCCCATGGGTGTCTGATGGTTTCGCTAATCAGTCGACTCCCCCTTTGATTTACGTCAGGTTCATATCATGCCCTTCGATGGTGCATGCTCCTAAAGCACAACATGCATATGACTGCGGTACTATGAGTTGTTCTGCTATGCGAGGAGGGCCTTTCTGCCGGCCCCGTGGGAAACAAACCCCACGTTTCGTCCTACGGTATGATATCAAACTCGCGAGGGTCAATATTGAAAGAAAGAAAGAGGAAGAGAAAAATTTTCCTGTTCCTCTTCGTTCCCCTGTCGCCGGAAAACCATGTCCCGTTTTGGCAGGAGTAGGTCTTAAAAGCCCTAGGAATGCGTTAACCAACCAACCTATCGCTGTATGTCACTTGGCTACATAGCTGCCCCCTGTCGGCACAGCACACTGGTCTCACGAGCTTAAGAGCATATGGCGGTCAGCACACATTGGCCATTCTTGACAGGGTGCACAACATATACATACTCCCACCTCATGTCCACGTCTGCTTACGGCAACCATTCCGGCTACAGAGATATATGCAGGTGCACGTCTATCATTATGCAACAGCAGGCCATTGATAAGACGTCAAAAAGAAAAGAAAAAAGAAGAAAAAAAGGGACCTGCATATAGGACCCTGAGTTCTGTCGCCTGCGCGATGGCGAGTGAAGTGGCTAAACCTAGAGGCTAACCGCTGTGGCGAGTCCTGCAACAAATCGAGTTCTTGGCGTTGATGTTCGTTGGTTTCCTACCTGCATTGGCCTGAGGCGACGAATAGAGAGCTCTGCCTACTTCTGCCCTTATGCACAAGAGGTCTCAGCTGAGGCCACGGACACAGTCGTTACCATGGTAATCGACAAGACCTAGCTGGCCACTACTCTTAGACCACGGCTCTGACGAGTCACACGTCTCCAAGCGATCGATGCTCCCATTACTCGGTTGGGCCAGACTTGTGCGGGACCGGGCGGTCGTCCATGATAATTTGATAATAGAGGAGCATCGTGCCCTTCTTTTCCGGATTCGAACGTACCGGGATATTCGGCAGTGCGGTTCTAGATTCTCACTTGCCGAGAGGCCCCAGTCACTGCTGTATGATGAGCCTCTTGTTTCTCGTCGCCCCTTTCCCCTCACTTCTCACGCCGGTCTGTCAAGCGCTAAGCATGCTCTCGCGCAGCTACGAGACGGCCGATCTTCGTTACGCGCAATGTCGCGAGCGTCGAACGCAGTGGCAATCGACTAGGAAGAGGGGGTCGATCTTGGTAGCGGAGGCGATCCTCGAACTAGAGATCAGGAGGCCTCTACAGTGCCACGGAGGTAAGCCGAGCGTTCTTCCGGCGAAGAGCCCGATTCTATTCGTCCAATAGTGACAAGTAGCACATACGGTAAAGCGCACGAGGTGGATATGCTCGACTTGGAACGGATACGTATGCAAGTTTCGCCGTCCAGATCTACTGTAGCACCTTTAACGGACCAAGATCTTCTCTCTGCTAAGCTATGCCAATCATTCGTAACCGGAAACTCGGGAGCCTTAACAGGTACTACCCTATTCGTCCTCGGGATATCCCATCTAGAGGATTATTTTCAAGCCTCTATTGATACTTCGTAGCTAAGCCAACGACTCGTGACAGATTTAATTACTCTGGATACCTTCCGAGAAATGCCCACAGAAGCGTCTTATTTGAAGCGTTACTGGTGATCGTCTGAAAAAAGAAAAAGAATTAAACCACGAGACACGTACTTCGGCCTTAAGGTCTCTGGGCACTCGCCACCATACATGATATCGAACCGTGCATGCCATTAATAAGTCGGCCCATCCGAAGTGACGGACTCGGAACGTTACCTAGTAACCTACCTCAAAAGATACCGTTCTTACAAACGAGTCGTTCCGAGTCGTTCGATTTTGGACGAGATGCTAGGTGTCTGTGTGGATCTGCTATTGCATTTAACGACAATTGTCATCTGTGACAGTGTTTTCTACTCTTGGTTCCATTCCCGACGAAACCTGGTCTGTTGAGTGGAGGTTCTGTACGAGTGCATCATCAAGACGACGTGTCGTGTCAAGTCCGATCTCATCGCTCGTGGCAGTCAAGCAACGAACAAGCAAGCATGGAATGGTTCGGAACGATTACCTTATGCAGGAAGTTGGTACCGCCGCCGGGCCGGACTCCGAGAGCGGGGGGCCTGACGTCTGCTTCCAACGGCTCGAGCGACCGAGCGTTACCGATGGGAGTTTTAGACCGGCGTCGGCGGTAAAGCTTTCAAGCGTGTTCCGACACGGACTTGTCAAGGGGAAGGCTATGCGAGACCGACGTGTCGGCCTCCACCACCCTCAACTGGGCGAAATAGGAGCAACGACAAGCCATCGGGCCGTCGGATGCCGCCGTACCGCACTCTCAGACCACCATATCTCCACAAATCCCGTCTTTCTCTGAGGTGGCAGACCCAACGGCAGACCCAACGGCAGACCCAACGCGGAGTTTCTCATTCCAGCCAACACGGTACTACCGGTTGGTCAACAGGATTCCCGTCTGATGTTCTTATAACCTAATCTATTCTACTTGTTAGTTTCGTCAAATACCGCCTTCTATGTCCCCTTTCAGAATTCAAGAAGCACAGGAAGAATCGCTGCCCACAATTTCTTCATCTCAAAAGACTCTTACACCTCTTTACCGCCAGGATTAGTTCGCAGCTAGAGTTGTACAAGCACATATAATTGCCATGATCCCATTCTCCTGTCAGAAATAGCTAACAATAGCCAAGGGTGATCCCAAAAATCGTCTGATATATACAATATATACAAGATTATATTCTTAAGACATATTCGAAATGTCCAAGGATCAAACTTACTCTTTACAATACACCATGGCGTTCAGCGGGCCATTGAGACATTTATAGCTCTCATTTTCCTATGCGCCTAGAACGCCACGACCTCAAGCTCGGAACTTGTCGACCGGCATAACTCCGAGTCAACAAAGGGTTTAACCCAACCTAGTCTTTCAGTCACCGACTTATTATATCGCTCTTATAGACGCTAATGCTTCACGGGATTGGGTCCGCCGTTTCCGGGCGGTTTGGGCCGGGAGCCCACCTTACCACCGATACACCGCCTCGGCCTGTTTCTATACATATCTCATCGAAAGCACGCAAGCGGACGAAAGCGGATGCATACGTGCAGCCATCTAAGTGAACGGCTATTTAGTATTCCATGGCTCGGCTCCGCCTGTCCCTTTGAGCTAAACGGCGTCGATCGACTGACTTGCGTCCACGGCATTTTGCGACAGCAAATTACGCGGCAATCTGCTAAGTGACAACTCTAAATGACGACCCGACCCCATCAGAATCTTATAATGGGCACATCTAACTTCCGATTTCGAATTCGGCTAGCGAGCCTATTACTTGTCATATGTAGGTGACCGGGTAAGTCCCCGGAAGGGAACGAAGAGGTGAATATAACCTGAAGTATAGCTTCAAGCAGGATCACGAACAAATTGGTCGATAACGAAGTAGAGTTACTCGATATCGTAGGTTAGGAATCTTTTACTAATGTAGAACCAAGCCCTCTATGTATACAAGTTAAAGCTAATATAAAAAATACTATTAAAAATTTACCCCGTATCATAACACTCGCAAGTAAAACATCATATGTTGAACATCATCTACCCTTCCACTTCTTCCACTTCTTCCACATAACACAGACAGATATCTACCCGCCGTAACACAGATCCCCCTGCATTGTTAATCTACGTTGTCCACGCTAAATTCTCAAATCCGACAAGCCATCAGTTGTTAGATGCATAAAACATACGTTACCTAGCTTATATTCCCCCCTCTTCCGGAGTTGGCGAAGATAAGGAGAACCTATTTTTCCATTTTGGCTGACTACTGCATTGCAAGTAGGTACACCTAGCTGAGTGGAACAATGATCAGTTCATACCAAACTGAATTCATACCTAGGTAGCTTCTTGATCTGCCCAGGGCTTTTGCTGTTGATCAGTGGAAACTTGGTCGAATGCGGTATCATCAGTGGTCAATTTCCGCAATCCGCAATCGATAAGGCATACCACAGCTTAAATCCCTGTAAGTCCCTGTTCCCGGCCTTGCTACGCCGCATAGGTACCCCGACCCAGCCCCCCGGCGAGTCTTCTCCCCTTCTCCCCTTCTTCCTCCCCTCTTTAGAAGGTGAGAAATTGCTAGAATGGTGCTAGGTTTCCCCCCCTTTTCCCTTTTCTATCACGATAACTTGCCTATTCCCCACCACGTGCAGGGCCAGGGCCAGGACGTGGCCCTTCGAGTCGTTCTAGTCGTTCTATTTGATTTTAGTCCGCTGAAAAAAAAATAATAGAATGGAATCGTGAGGCTGAATTATCGCCTGTACCCCCCCTTTTTTCCCCTTCCCTTAACCCCATTTCTCCCGACTTACCCGACTTGCTGGCTCCTCATCGTACTTACAGACTATTGTTCCATTATCTTATTGTCCACCGCCTTGTCGACGCTAAGTTGGCTAGGTAACCTTTTTTGCTAAGTTCTGCCCGCCTCTTCCAAGTTTCGCATCGGCTGCGCAATCTACTCATCATAATACTTCGTCTTTGTAGTTTTTTTTCTTCCCGCCATTAACCTTTTCGCTCGTCATTGTTATTGTTATCATCATCATCGTTGTTTGTCTGTTTGTCTGTTTGTTATTAGAAAAAAAAATTGCGCCATACATACGCTATTACCAGCTGAGAAAATAAAGGCATTATTGTGAGAGACCGCCTTTAATTCTGTTGGTCGTTCACCGCCTTGGTCCCCTCCCAAGGTGACCCGAGCTTTGGATGCTTGCTTGGTTGTTGCTGCGCGTCCCATCCGCATCGTTATGCTGTATTGACCGAGCAATCTCTCCACCCCTCAAATCAAAGGCCCACCAAAGAACTCCAGTCTATCTATCCGATTCAGTATTTATCACATGGTAACAGCGATAAAACTCATGGCTATTTCTCAGAGCATATGAAGCCCGTATGAAGCCTTCTCGTTGATGTCACTTTGACCGCAATTATATCGTTGGTCTAAGTCATTCATCTCATCTTTAGCCTCTGAGTGATTTATTGTCGTTATTATCGTTATTATTCAGACCTCCCAACCGTCGCGCACATGACCCTTATTAGTGTCGGTCCTACTCCAATGTCTTTATTCCGGTGATCCCGACTCTTTGGCCGTCTTGCGGGCCCCCTTGCGAGCCCCCTTTTGCTCTCTCTGTTCTGGCGCGCGACAAAAGAATTATTTCGCGTCTAACAATCCCGTTTGTCTTCCTAGACGCATTATTTACGTACGTCGATGGTCCCGCGATAGCAACGGGGTATAGTATATGTACGTGTATATGATAGTGAGACATCTATATTTACATATACATTCATACTTGAGTACGTCGCTGTCGCCTCCATGCCATTCTACGCCATGGCATCAATTCATAGCCTACCGGGACTCAGATCGCATGGTTCAAGCAATAAGATAAACAAATCGAGAGCTAGGACGGCAGTCAAGCCAATTCTTAAGAAACTTTCGTCGCAATCGGAGAAAAATTCGTTAGATTTGGATAGAGGGTGGACAGATCAGGATGAACAATATCAGACCCGCGATGGCTGGGTAGGAGGAGTAGGAGTAGGAGTAGGAGTAAAAGGGGTAGCAGGAGTAGAGAAGTCGACTAAGGAGATAAACTTTACCTTGAACGAGGCTGGTACGAACCGATATAATCATGCTAGGTCGATAAGTGGTGCAAGCCATGTTTCTGTCGCGACAAGCAGCAGCTCCGGCCCACGCCACCAAGTCGGTGCGCCGTTCGTACATCCTTTTCAGCAGACACCTCGGACGTCAACCCCGCCTTTATCGTATGCCAATTCGCAAACGTCCTTCTTCGACATCACTGAGGACGATAACGATGGTAACGATGATAACGACGATAGCGTTGGTAGCTGCAGCAATAGCAACAGCAACAGCTTAGACGCAAGTCACAGCCATAGGAATAGTCTTCATATTCAGATGAACTCACATTCACATTCGCAACCTACTTTGGGCATAGGCCGTCCGTCTCTAGCAAGCACGCAACGTACTTCATCCTTTTCTGAAGTAAAAAATGCACATACTTCAGCCCCTTACCCTTCTCACCACTCACCCCCCCTCCGAATAAATACTTCGCGGACCGTCCTAGCGTCTCCCGTGCAGTCTTCGCGCCTCCCCAATGTTCCAAGTCGATCTGACTTACAACTCGATCGCATAACGGACTCGCCCATATCTCCGTCCAATACTCCCTCAAATCACGTCACATCGCCCGCCAGTTCATCAACCCCGATGTCTCCCCTACGCTCTTCGTTCGATGCCAGCGGTTTTCCTCGCCTGCGCGCAAAGTCTGACCTGGACACAGCCACTCGCGCTGAGCACCTTCGAGTAGCCCGTCGGAAATTCGAGCTGAGGGAGAAGGCCAAAGAGGAGAAATACGCGCGAGAAGAGATCAAGCGTCGCGAGCGAGCCGATAATAAGCGCGCTCTCGAGAAGGAAAGGTACGCGGCGGCTGCGCATAAGGAGCAGATGGCTGCGAGAGCTCGCTTAGAGGCAGCGGAGCTCGAGGAAGCAATAGCTCGCGGGAAGCACAATAGGAAGTTCAGCGGGACCAGTAGCAGCCGCCCGAGCATAGCCATCTCTAGGACTAGCATGTCTCGGCCAAGCACGTCGCGAAAGAATATCCCTAGCCCCTTAGGAGAGTCTGAGAAGTTTGCTAGTAGCAACTACGACAGTCTGGATGCGCGAAGCCCGCCAGCTTTTGGCAACGAAGCCGGAGGGGCGCAGAGCGTCCCCTTTCAGCCCACCAAGCGCAGAAATACAGCTAAGAGGAAGACCCAGAGCACGTGGACTATGTTCATATTATGGCTTAGAACAAAGCTGCTCAGGGTCAGCAAGAACCGTTGACTTGTGCGCCTCCCGGCAGGATCCCACCGCACATCTTATATCTTATTTTTCAGGTCTTAGCCGGCCTACGGACATACATATACCCACGATATATACACACCCAGCTCAGCATCGTCAAGAGGAACGATATTGCGCATGACGGAGGCGGCGTGAGTGGCAGGAACAAACCACGCATATCAATCGTCAGGTCATTGGCAACAAAGGCATACGAGCATACACGATATCCATTGCATTCACGACTTTCACTTTAGCATCGTTGAACAAGGCGTTTTAGACTTGGAGTTTAAACAAGTCGGTTGCATTTTTTTGTTAGATACGCCGTTGCATTCGCCCTGCTTCGTCGACGTGGGGAATAAAGGAAACGGAAGGGTAAAACCTAGGTACCCTTGGGAGTTTTTGCACTAAAGGCAAGAGTGCTACTATCGATCCGAGGTCTACTTGGACGATTGGATTTGCCATTCTTTTCACTTCTCTTCTGCGTTTTCGGATACCCGGC